AAAGAAGTACAAATGGTCAATAAATACATTTTAAAATGTTCAACTTTGCCATTACATAAATACAAATTAAAACCACACTCATTCCTATAATCTCAGCACCTGGGAAGCTGAAGCAGGAGGATAGCTACAAATCTGAGTCTACTCCAGGCTACATAGTGAGTTCAAGGCCTGCCTAAACTACATATTGAGACCATGTCATAAAACACAAACAAAACAGACAAACAGACAAGAAAGAAAAAAAGAAAGGAAGGAAGGAAAGAAGGAAGGAAGGAAGGAAGGAAGGAAGGAAGGAAGGAAGGAAGGAAGGAAGGAGAAAGAAAGAAAGAAAGAAAGAAAGAAAGAAAGAAAGAAAGAAAGAAAGCCCTAGATTCCATCTCCAGAAAGAATGGGTGCCATCACAAAATCAAATAGCAAATGCCAGTTAGGCTGCAGAAAAAAAAAAGGAACCTTTCTACATTGTTGGTAAGAATGTAAATGGTACAACCACTATGGAAACTCTTCAAAAAATTAGGGCAGGGCTCTAAGCACTGCCTAGCAAGGACAAGGACCTGAGTTTGATCCCCAGAAAGGACCCAGGTTCGATCCCCAGGGCTCTGGGGCCATGCAGTACTGGGGACGGAACCCAGGCCCTTGCTCTTGCCAGGCAGGCCCTTAAACCACCAAGCTATCTCCCTGGCCTCTTGATCTTATGTTAATCAAACTAAGATCCAATGCCAAAAATGTGATTTTTCCAAATAAATGACAAAAAGTACTTCTTTAAATTTAAAATTTGTTCTTTGCCAGGCATGGTGATGCATTCCTATAATCAGGAGGCTGAGGCAGAAGGATTGCTGTGAGTTCAAATCCAGAATAGACTACAAAATGAGATCCAGGCCAGTCTTAACTGCAGAGAAACACCCTGTCTCAAAAAGACAAAATTGAAATAAAATTTGTTTCTTAACCTTCTTAACCTTTAAAGTTAGCAGATAAGCCATAGGCTTGAAAATATACACAGAACATGTATCTGTCAAAAAATTGTGTCTAGGATACATTAAAAACTATAATTAGTAAAAGACACTAAGGGGAGATAAAACAAATTAAGGTGTGTAATGTACATGTACCAACTTCCCAGGATGAGTGTAAAAATTCCATACTGCAAATATGTACTGATAGAAACAAAAAAATTTAAAAGTATCTATGATAAAGGTTCCAGTTACATGTAAGACTACACAGGAGAGAGATAAAAATCTAATTAGTGACTAATGGGAAGAAGGTACAGAAAAGTGACCTTTCTTGTGGCTTATCAACCATGGGTACATTCCACAAACCTACTCTGGTGTTAATGTACACAAGTAGAATTTATTTCATATAGATGCTTTAGCCAGAATTACATGTTTGCATGAGGTACGACAAAATATGATGACTATGTAAATTAAACAATTTTTACATAAAATTTTTTAAAAAGTAAAAGACAACTCAATTATTTTAATGGGAAAAATAATTGCTTCTCTCTCTCACTCTCTCTCTCTCTCTCTCTCTCTGTACTCAAAACTAACAATAGTAGTCATTAAGAAAATACAAATCAAAAAACCACAATGAACTATATATCCACTAGGATGGCTAATGTTTAAAACAACTGACTATATCAAGGCTTGAATATAAAAAAGGCTAGGCATGGTGGTGCATGCCTGTAGTTCTAGCACTTGAGAGGCTGAGGCAGGAGGATCTTCATGAGTTTGAGGTCACCATGTACTGCATAGTGAGTCCAGACCAGCCTGATCTAGCAAGACCCTGTCTCAAAAATGAAAATAAACTAGAATATTAAAACACTGTGAAAATAAAATAAAAATAAAAATAAAATAAAAAAATACTGTGAGTGGTTTAGTCATACTGAAAAATAATTTGATAATCTTTTTAAAAGTTAAATACCTGTCATGTAATCCAGTCACATCAGTACCAATAGTCAATAGAATTGAAAACCTGTTCACATGAAAACTTGTATCCAAATGGTGATAAATCTTCTGGGTAATTACTAATAACTGAAAAGAACTCAAATATCCTAAATTGGGAATATGTATAAACTGGAAAACTGTCCAAGAATAAAAGGCAAATTAGTTAAATGCAAAATACTGTTAATATCAAAATAATTACACTCAGTAGATAAAGCCAAAACAAAAAAGTACACCCTATGATTTTACTTATAAAGTCAAATCAGAAGCTCCAGTGGTGCAATCAGTTAGCACGTGGTACTTATATAAACTAAAGTCAGATAGGTGATAGGTAGGTAGGTAGACAGACAGGATGGACTGATTATTGATTCCTTCAGTGTTAGAAGGAAAAAGGTAATAAGGGATTATAAAGAGTCAGGAGGAAACATTTAGGACTGATTGATAAGGTCCTTATCTCAATTGCAATGATGATTTCAAGGTTAAATATATCTCCGAAAACTAATCAGATTGTATACTTTAAAAATGAAGTCTATAATACATTAAAGTGTACCTCAATAAAATGTATTCAGAAATATCTAACTATATAATCATAATTGTTTACAAGTATAATTTTAAGAGAGGAAGGAGTCTGTTAATTATAGTCTATTCCAAGTATTTTATCATTCTAACTTTACAGATCTTTAGGCTAAACGCAGTTGCTTGTTGCTTAAATGGGGACAGTTTTCAAATTTGTTGCATCAACTGTCAGTTGTGCCAAATTTTCTGTTAAAGGAATATTAGGCAAACTCTTTGGCTGTATTAGGTTGGTAGAAAAGGCTACAATCCTTGCTTAGAAATTGAATAAATCCCTTGATCCAACTTTCAAACAATATTAAGGATACAATCCAAATTACCTCTTCAGAGGCTGATGAGATGGCTCAGTGGTCTAAAGCACCTACTTAGAACAAGCTTAGCAAAGCACAGGGACTGCGGTTCAATCCCCCAGCACCACATGCCAGCCAGCCCCGCCCCCTGGTGAGCTAAGCTGGCCACACACACACACACACACACACATAAATAAATAAATTTTTAAAAAAATCTCTATTAAAAAAAAGATTTAAAAAAACAAATTATCTCTTGAAAAATCAAGTCTTACATTAAATTATTCTGTTTTCTCAAAAAATATAAAATTCAGTTTTCTTTAAAAAATATAACACATGAAATATTTATTCCTTATCATACAGTAACATCTATATAAGCATTGTTACAATCTTTTTTTTTTTTTTTTTTTTTTTTTTTTGAGACGGGGTCTTACTATGCAGTTCATGCTAGCCTGGACTCACTATGTAGCACGGGCTGGCCTCAAACATGCAGTGATCCTCCTGCCTCAGTCTCTGAGTGCTGTGATTACAAGCATGTGCCACACCTGGTAGCATTATTTTAATTTTAATGTGCTTGCTGTCAAGCCTTTTTAAAAAAAAAAAATTTAGGAGTTCCCTTTTCAACTACTCTATTTACAACATCTGTATTTTAAATTCAATTATTCCACAAACCATTTATGTTTTAGTTGGTTTCTCTTTTGATGATAATTCTTGAATTTGTAAAAACAAAATCAAAGTAAATTACAAAGTATAGCCACATTCCTTAAATGATTAATTCTTACTTGCTCACTATGTAAGCAAAGCTGAGATCTCTACATAATTTTCTTGTGTTAAAAAACTTCAAAACCAGTTAGTAGACATTATATCTTGTTAAATTATGAACTGTCATTTTCATTCACCTTAAGTTTTTATTTCTTCCTACTCCCTTCAGAATTTCTCATTTCTGTGTATATCTTATAATGCAAAATGCCAAGGCTAAAGGTCTCCATGTAAATAGTAAAAGGAAAGCTTTCTTAGGAGTGTTTGGTAGATCATAAATACTATCAAGAAATATACACATAAGAGCTTCTAACATATTATACTAATTTAAGAAAAATTACAAAAGTGTAAATAAGTCTAATAGCTTTTATTAAATTTTTATTTTGTTTTTATGAGTTTGGTGTGGAAGAACAGAAGGCCAAGGAAGAAGAAAATAAAGAATATGATAAAGTAGCAACTCCAGGCAGAACCTAGGACCTGGAACAGTAAGCACTTGAATGAATAAACAAGCTTGATTTCACAATCACTTAATGTATCTCCTCTTTAGCTGATTAGCTATTTTGGCTATTGAGCGGCAAGAAGCAAAGACTGGAAATGCTCCAAATGCCTAACAAATGTACCATAGTCAATTAAGCAAATGTCAGTAAATATAAGAAACAGAGAGAATTTATATATAACAAAAAGGTATAAGCTCATGATCATACTCCTTAATTTAAAATAAATGTGAGCACAGTAGCACATGGCTATTATCTCATCACTCATGAGGCTGAGATGGAAGGATTACAAGTTGGAGGCCAGCCTCATCAACCTAGACCCTGTCTCAAAATTAAAAAAAAAAAAAATGGGGAACATAGTTTGGTGCAAAGGCCCTCAGTTCAATTGTAGTACTATTATTGAAAATTTAAATCAAAACCTGAGTCTGTTGCTTCAAGGAGTACTGTGAGATGTGCCATCATTTTAACTATAAAAACTCCTTGTGTCCTAACTAGAGAGCAACTCACATGAATCTATGGAATATCTGAACTACAAAATAAGCCAGCTAATTGTATTTTCATGTTTATATAATATCTAAGTAGACAGGGTAAAATATATTCAGCTTTGTAAATATATTTTTGGGTATACTTACCAAATTACTATTAAGAAGAAATAAAAATTATAATTAATTTCTCCAGTTTCATAAACTGATATTTTTATATAAGTACCATGTCGTAACCAATTGTGCCACTGGAGCTCCCATAAACTGATATTTTGGAAGTGCTTAGAAAGATTTAAAACATTTCTTCTCTTAAATAATATAAACTTTCCTCTGAAATTACATTACTAGTGTACACTTAGTCCTTTTTCTATTCCTAGTACATAATATTTTGCTCAGTTCTATCTAAAGTATTACAAATTTTGATTTCTAATGAAGCACAACAAAGATGATGGAACAAAAAAATTTGGTTTCACTTACCCCGGAGTTTAAAATATTTTACATGGTTTGCCACAGCCTCTGTGACAGTTTCATTTGGGCAGATTTTTACTCCATTAGGAAAGAGAATAGATCGCCTTCTTCTCAGTAACCACCGTTTCTCAGCTTCTCTGTGGTCCAGAAGCTGTTTCCTTTTAGCAGGTAGAGAAGAGTCCATAGATTCTTTGGGCAGTAGAAAAGAAACTGCACGCTTTGGTTCTGGGATCTCTTCTGAAGATAAGTAGGCTTGCACTACAGAGTGAAAGCATAACCAAGGCTTCTGATCAGGAATGGAGATAAGACACAAGAGGTACAGGGAAAAGCAGTCACTTGTGCCAATGCCTATTTGGAGAGCCAAGTATTCAATCTTTCTCCCATTTAATTCCCCACCCTCTAATTCAAGATTTTTTTTAAAAAATCAAGGTCAAGACTACATCCAATTTCAACACAGGAAATAAGGAAAAAGATGTTGGCCAGGACTTACTAATGAAAAGGAAAAAAGCTCCAATTACTAGAGATATCTTAAAACAATGTAAATGAAGCAATATCAAAGATTAATATAGTATTTACTCAACTTCTTACAGCAATCACATCACATAATACTGTTTTAATACACTAGACCTGTATAGAAAGGTAAAAAATATATTTTTAATTACCTGTTAATGAAGAAAGGTTTCCTTCTATCCAGACAAATATCAAAATACCCAGAGAAATCTTCCCCAAAAGAGGAAACATAATCACTTAGGCCCAAAACAAGAAAAGAAGAGAGCAAAATCCTTAATTGAACATCCAAAGACTTGAAAATTTCCAATAAATAATTGTTACAGAAAAGGCATACCATTTATGTTCTAGAATGATAAACACTATAAAGCCATTATAAATTAATGTAAATAATAATGGTATCCCTCAAAGTGGCTCTCAATTCTTTTCTGAAATAACCAGCATGCTATGAAAGCAGGAGAGATAAGCTAATTAGAACAGATGGGGAGAGCAACTTCTTTAATCTAGCAGCTAAGCTCTTTATTAACACTCTCCTTGCCTTTAGCAAGCAATTCATTTACAAAAAGCATTTCATATGAATTCTCTGATTTTTTCTAACTCTGATTCATCAAATCTGATAGATTCATATGTTCTCTGAGTTCCCCTATGGCTTAAGCTGTATGTACATAAAACCTATTTCAGTAATACAGAGCCACACAAAAAGCAAAATTAGCTTCCATAATAAAGCCATCATATTGTAAAAAAAAAAAATCTGAGAATTGCAGCAATATAGAAACATTTCTGTACTTAAATTGAGAAAACCAGGGCTTAAATACTGGCTTTGCCACTTAATACCTGATTTTGGTAAATCACCAAAATTCATTGAGCTATTTTGCTCACCCAAAAAATTATAATAATCTCTAAAATGCAGTTACAAGAATTAAGGAATATAGAAATTATCTGGGAAATAATACATTGTGCTCTATTTGTATTACAAATGTTCATAAATTCTCCAGGAATTTCAAGCTTTGAAATTCTCTTTTGTTCAAGCTCTAGAACAACAACAAAAAAAAACCCTAACTTATATTCCATGTAGAAAGTGTACTTAATATCTTCAAAAATATTTATTGTATCCTATTAAATATAGTTTATAAAATTTCAGAAACATATAATTAGAAAAACATGAAAAATTCAGCGAGGTTCATTTGCTTCTAAATAGGTTCATCAAGGGCTGGGGAAATAGCTCAGTGGCATAAGTGCTTGCTTGACAAGAGCCAGGTCTCAAGTTTGATACCAGGTACTGCAAAAATAAATTAGGTTCATCACTTTTAAATTTATTATAACTTGACAATTGATTTATTCCACTGAGCCATTTCCCCGGCCCGACAATTGATTTATTTACAACTTTAACTGCAACATTTTTAAACTATAATATAAAGCCATAAATTTATCTTATGAGAATCCATGAGCAAGGTTAACTCCAACTACGAGAATCCATAAGCAAGAGGGGATTTATTAGGAAATATAACATTTCAGCTGAGTGGTCTGGCCAGCATTTCAGTTAATGGAGGTTGTGGTGCAGGTGGTGGTGAACAGGAAAGATAAAACTGTTCTCTTCATAAAGAATCCTGGGTGATAGCACATACTTGCAATGCCAGCACACTGAGGGGTGGAGGAAAGAGGATTCAAGCCCAACATGGGCAATTTAGCCACATGGCAAGACCTGTGTCAAGATAAAAAACAAAGGCTGGGAATGTAGGTTAATGTGAAGGCCCCAAATCTAATCCCTAGGATAAAAAAATAAATAAAAAGGAAATTCCTGATTATGATTAATCAAGTATAAAAGTATACCATTCATACAAAAAATACTTGTTAGAGTAAAATAGAAGCACATGGTAAACAAATTGAGAGTGAAAGCTCAAAAAGTTAATTATTGTAGATTATGGAATGCCTTAAAAGTCCGACCAAGATTTTTGTGTTTTTACTAACAGATGAAACAGATTATCTATACTACTCCATCACCCAGAGCAATATTGTTCTCATTTAAGAGAATTCCTTATAGATTATTTCAAAATACCACATCAGGGCTGTGGAGATAGCTCAGTGGACTAAGCACCTGCCTATGCAAGTGCAAAGACCTGGGTTTGATCCCCAGTACTGCATGCCATACTGGCCCTGCTCCTGGCATGACAAGCAGGCCACCAAGACCAGGTGTAGTGGCACACATCTGTAATCCCAGCATTGGAGAGGCTAAAATGGGAGCAGCACTATGAGTCCTAGCTGCATAGTGAGACCCTGTGCCAAATACATTAAAAAAATTTTTTTAAATAAAATATGACATCATGGTCACTGAACATTCTTATGTGTCAAATCATAAACGTATGAGAAAATAAACATAAAATCCTGCTTTTTGAAGATAACAAGTACTAGACTGTTTCATTCATACCAAATTCCAAATCAGTTGAGGATCGTTTATTGAGTGCTTATTAGAGGCTATGAACATTCCTTATATTAAGTACAAGAAATGCCATATATTCCCACTCTTTGAAGAGCTTATCACATACTGGGGTAAATGTGTATACCAATAAGATAACAAAATTAGAGAAATAGATGCAAATTGTTACAGGGAAGAGAGAATGTTTGAACAGCTATGGGCTGGTAAAATTAAGTTTAAATTTTTTTTTACATTCACAAGTACTGAGTGGGTGAGGTAGGAAAAGGAAATAGCAGGTGCAAAGGCCTCCAGAATGAAGATATATACAGTGGCACAGTATCAACTTCACACAACTGTTTATGGTGTGGTTTTTACAACCACAATCACACTTATGGGACGAGTTCATAACTTGGCTCCATGTGTTCCTTGATGAAGACAGCACACTGTTGTAATCATGATAATTTCAAGTAAGGTTGATCTTCATCTTATATTTTTATAGGTTTATGACTGATTTCTTCACCCCCAAAGGGAATGCACCCAATTTTAACAGAACAGTGCAGGCCACAACAGCAGAATGAGGCCCCATGAACACATAGTCATGTCTTTTTAATAGCCCATACCATAAATTTCCAATTCCCAGAAGAATAAACTTGGTTACACAAGACTAGAGAGAGAAGTACTTGAAGCATGAATGAAAATTCTATGACTAAAAAGTAGACGTTAACAGAAAAATGAGGACAGAATAGAGCCTGGAATAAAATCAAGATAGGCTCTGTATGACAAATCTAGACCTCTTTTTCTCCTGGCATAAAGTGAAAATATCTGATCTGAAGAAATATTACATTTCTTCAAAGTTGTACTCAAGTGATTGAATATGACAAAGATTACTATTTTTAACTCTGAGTTGTAACTTAAAAAGAGTATTTTTGGCGGCTCACATGCTTTGGCCCGACCTAGAGGAGGGCAGTATAGTTTCCCGGTGCTGCGGAGACCTTCACCCAGGTCAGCTCCCCTCCCTAGACCTCTCCTCTCTGCCTACTAGGCCCTTCAAACCCAGAACCCAGCATTTGTGGACAAGGTGAGAGCAGGTGCACGGATGGTGGTCATGCAGAGGAGACTCCTTTCTACCAAGATGATGGAAGTACTGACAACTGACTCTTAGAAACTGCTGCACCAGCTGAATACCTGGCTGTCACAGGAAGCTGGGTGTCAACCACAGGTCTGTGGCTTAAGACTCATTCAGTCTGCACATGATGATGGTGTCAGAATGACTGCAAGACTAAGGAATTTTAAGGTAAATGATCTTCTTAGTCTAACTCATTTCTCTGGCTTTTATATGGAGACATTTTCTCCAGCTGTGAATTTACTGAACAGATTCTAAAATGAAGGTATAGTCCAAGCACCTTAGTTTTGTTGGGCTGAGCTGTGTTTATTTGGATGCAAAATCAAAAGAAATGTCCTATGGTAACTGACTTGACATAAATAAGTCAGTATAGGTTTACCATTTCACACTTGATAAGAATGAAAGATTGCACTGGATAAAGCATATTGGAAAGTCAAAGCCACTACTTCAATTACTATAACTCCATGATTCATTCATTCAAGAAAACTTGCCATTTGGAAGGAAAAATAGCCTAAATTTTAAAAGACTAGAAGCTTAGCTTAAGGCATGTAACTGCACAATCTTATTTTGTAAAGCAACATCTTCTGTGTTGGCCTTATCTATCATTGCATCAGCCATCGAAGCACAGAAGTACTAAAATAGAGTTAACAGAAGTAGAACATCTTCAGAAACATTCCAGGATAAATGGCAGAGATCTAAGCTGCTGGCAAGAGCCTGTATCCATGTGTTTAAGTGAATATTCATCAAGCAACTGTTTCAAGTCAAATGTTTCCAAGTTGGAAGTGGATTATTTCTGGGTGTACTGCAGGGCAACCAAAGCATAGTTACTAGAGTAACTTACCTTCAAACAACTCCTGAATTGTTTCCTTAATTGTTAAATTCAGTTGTTAGTCTCTGTATAAAGAAAAACATATCACTTTCTTATACAATTGAAGTGCTAAAATATTAACTTCAAAATAAATCAACTGGACTTGGAATAGCAAAAGGGAAAAAATGACTCACCACTCTAGTCAGTTAATATTCGAAGGCATTTACTATATATAAGGCTCAAAACCATAAGGAAAGCAGCTATCTAATCTCTGATATGGTAACCAGCTCATTAAATCAGCAGCTTAGAAAACAACAGCCTCTTTAATAACTTGAATTTTTAAAGTAGCCGGCAGTAGTGGCTTTTTAATTGTATATTTTGTTATATGAAGCCCCAACCTCTAGCTCATTTAAAGTTATAACAGGACCAAAAGCTTGATCACATATGAACTAATTTGAGACTGTTAGCTTATGAATGTAATCATTATGAACTTGAGAAAATCATTATACCTAGAGAAAAAAGTAACACAGAGCAAACGATATCTGCTGGATTTCTGAAAACTGCCATTGTCTCAACATATGCTCTAGCAACTGGAATATTAGAAAATAATTATATTTTTTAAATTTACAATTTTATGCAGTCACTGCATATATGCTATGTTTTTTCTATTATTTTTAAAGAGATAAAATAGGGGCTGGTGAGATGGCTCAGTGGTCTAAAGCACCTACTTAGAACAAGCTTGGCAAAGCACAGAGACGCAGTTCAATCCCCCAGCACCAAATGCCAGCCAGCCCTGCCCCCTGGTGGGCTGAGCTGGCCACACACACACACACACACACACACACACACACATAAATAAATAAATAAAATTTAAAAAAAAAAAGATAAAATAGTATAAAGAATCAGAAATGATACAAAGTATTTTGTCATCTAAATTTATTAACTTACAGTAATAATTTATCTTCTCCAACTCAAAACTAAATATTAACATTTAACATCTCTATATGACTATGAAACTTAGGTATAAAAAATTTACCTATATAACAGCTAGTAGTAAATAGACAAACTTTTGATAAATTGGGTTTTTTTTCTTCTTTACAGAAATACTACTATTTCAGCAACAACAACAAAAAAAAATTTCTTTGGGGTCAGCAAGATAGCTCAGTAGACTAAGTGCCTGCTCAGGCAAGCACAGGGACCAGAATTCGATCCCTGCCCCCAGGTGCACTGAGCCTGTGACCAAATCCAGGCGTGGTGGCGAACACCTGTAATCCCAGCACTGGGGAGGCTGAAAACAGGAGGATTACTACAAGTCTGAGCTGCATACTACAACCCTATACCCAAAAAAAAAAAAAAAAATTGTTTGAATTCTTTCTTCACAACCCTGAAATATGGATTCCAATATGTTATCACTGATTTAAGTTAATGAAGTCTCAAAACATCACAACTAGATTAGTAACATGTTCTCCAACTTGGAAAACTGCCTAATTAATATAATGCTGTAGTAGGATTGTTTAGATTTTAATTCATCTGTAAAGTTAAAGCCATAAATATAAAACAATACAAAAACCTGAAATGGTGAACTGTGAATCATTTCTAACATTTACCCTCCTATATTATATTTAGATGATATTGAAAACGTTAACCTACTTAATTGTTAATTTATTTTTTATTTCTTTATTTTTTTGTGGAACCAGGGATTGAACTCAGACCCTTTCGCTTGCCAGGGAAGAGCTTATTCCACTGAGCCATCTCCCCGGCTCTAAATGTTAAATTATGAGTTTTACATCAAAACCAGTATTTTACACATGTACTTTTTAAAGGTGTAATAAGGGTTATATATACTATTGATAATGTAATAGTTTCTTGGTACTTATAAAGTAATAGATAATTTAGTGATGAGAATGTTATTGCATATGGAAACTGCATTTAAATGTTACATTTTTTATTAAGCCAAAATACAGAACTAGTGAAGTTTGCTATATTCACTGAGCTTTAATATTTCTTAAAAAAGATATTTGTATTGATAAAAAAATTTTACGCAATGTCTTATTCCATTAAAAATGTTCTATTACATTATATAGTAACTCAAAATCAATTTTTACTCTCAAAACTCACTTTATCCTAAGTTCTTGCTAGATGAAGCACTCTAGAAGGTTTTACTATGAACTGTTTCTATAAAACTGCCCTTGCTTCTATTCTCTTTCCCCTAAAAGAGTAGAATATATTTTCACAAATTTCCATACTGTGTCCTAAGAAAAGTAAGCAGACACCTCCATTAAGTATGAAATTGCTGAGGTAGTATTTAGAATTCCTCTGAGCCACGTTAATGT